ACTAGTTATTACAACTAAACAATGACATGCCCAGAAACACATAGAGTGGATTTAGGTTTAAACTGATAAAGTAGTTGCCGGGTTATCTCGACTGGAACAAGAAGAACAATATGGTGATTGGTCACTCTCTGGGTTGGTATCTTAGCAACAGTTTCTTGCCTTGTTGGGTAGAGAAACAAATGAAAGTGAGCAGCAATCATCTTTTAAAGTAAAACTGTCATTGTTGTTTTTTTAGTAAATATATATTTGTATTATGCTTATTGAGTATCTTGGCCATCCCTACCTATAGAGTCTACCTAACAAATATTTCTCCAGATTTATAGATCTTCGTACTAACTATCAGTATAACCTTAAGTAACAGATTTTCAAGTAGAAAAGACCTGGAACAATATATCAAAATTTTGAATTGAACTCTGGGAAGAATAGTTTCTCTGCTTACTTAACTTCATATGTTCTTTTACTTAATCAATAATGAAAACCAAAAAAGATCACCAGAGGTTTCCCAGCATCCTCTTGAGAATAAATAAAAGTGTTTCACAGGACATCAAACATATTAGGAAAAAAGTGGACCAGGGGACATCAAACATGTTTGAGAAAAAAAAGTGGACCAGGGGACATCAAACATCTTAGGGAAAAAAGTGGACCAGGGGACATCAAACATCGTAGGGAAAAAAGTGGACCAGGGGACACCAAACTCTTGGAGAAAAAAAGTGGACCAGGGGACACCAAACATCTTGGAGAAAAAAAGTGGACCAGGGGACACCAAACCACTTGAAAAAAATACCTCGGTGATGCCCAGGTATAACTACACCACTAATTAAGATGTTCATAAATTGATGTCAAAATTTTGGAAAATACAAATACTCAAATATACGTTTTTTCCAAAAAAAACAAAAACTAAAGAAATAAAATTACGTTTTTGTGTGCAACTCTTGATACAGATTTTATTTTCAGAGATCTTGGGAGTTGACTCATGTTGTCGAATCTTCTTGTTTACAGCATTGAAAACACCACCATGAACGGGAAAGAACATGTACAAACACTCGCTGTCCGTAAAATGAAGATCTCGCTCCAAGTCTCCTGTATATCGCTTTCTACTAAACTTTAGAGTAGTTATTCCATCTTCTCGCCAACCACTCATATTGCTGATGCTCTGACTGGGATCCAGGGATGGTTGTTTGTAATCTGCTAACCACCTGGTGAAAAAAAAAAGTTTATATGCTTTTCAATATCTCTAAGTTGATGTTATTATCATTTTTTTTTCTATGCTATACACTAACATAAAACAAATAAATGATTTGATAACACCAAATTTGTTTTTTTTTGTTAATTGGACACTCAACGTTTTGCTTTACAGCTTCTTTAGAAACATTCCGCTAAAACACAACCATATTTCTAGTATTAAAATGTCTTCTACACATCAATATGTTACAGAAATTAAATAACTTTCAAAATGTTTCATTCAAAACACAACCCTTTACACACGGGTCAAAGGTCATGTCATTGTGTTTGTTGACTCGAGTTCAAAATTTTATTGAACTACTATTTTATGAATGTATGTGAATAAGTTTGGTATCAAACTGTAGATTATAATTCAAATTTTAGATTTTAGTATTATATATTATTCAATTTCTTAATTTAAAAGTAAATATTAAAAAAAACACCAATATTGACAAGCTAGTATATAAACTAAGAACCTCCTATGTTTTCTATTTGCCGAGATATCACTCATGTACTAAATCAAACACAGTGGCCCCGCTCACCTCTTTCCATTTTTGAAAAGGCTCCCTTATATACACTTACTTCAATATATGACAAATGAATAACCAATCAAAAGCTCAGAATGTCCCCCTAGTGGCTTTCTCTGTCATTTTCATGTGTTAGGACACCATCTCATTCTTTCGAACCAAGATTTGAACCAATATCATATTTTTTTAGACCCAAATACAGCTTGATAAATTATAGTGGAATCCCATGGTATCATAAATTACTATATTTCAACTATATATATATATATATATATAA